AATGATTTATTTTCTTAGTTTGAAGAGGATGCTTCTAAAAGATTCCATGCTCTCACTAAAGCTTGCAGACAAAATGCAAACTTCTCTGAAGTATATGATCTAACTGAGGCTTTCAAAAGATGGATTGCAGCCAACTCTGAAGAGTTGGAGGTTTCCTGGCTGAAGGAAGCTAAGAGTAACTTCCATGCTAGACTCTCTGGTATAGTTAAACCTTTACTTCAGAAGGTTTCAGCCACTCTTCTACTCCCAGCTCCAGAAGTGATTCCTCCGCCCCCAGTTCAGACTTGTGTAGTTTCGACTAAGACCTATGTTGAAGTTGTAGGTGTTTCTGACCCCAAAAAGATCTCGGGTTTTATGGATTTTGTTCTGAAGAAGTTGGAGTTTCTGGCTCAGGAGAACTCAAAAGTGAAGGAATGAACTTCAAAGATTGAAGGGTTTCTTGTAGAGATTCTTTCCAGACTACCCAAAAACCCTTTTGCGCCTTAGTTTTTTTAAACTTTGTGTTATCTTTGTTATGTTCTTATGTTTCCTTCTTCTGTGTATTCGCCTATCTTGCTTAATAAATGAAAATTATCCTCTGTTTGACTTAGTTTTCTTTGTCTCTTTATTCTTTTTGATTGATGACAAAGGGGGAGAAAATTGTTAATGATTTTGATATATCAGTATCCCACTATGAAAACCCAAGCATGTTTCTAACATTTTAACTTGGTAAATTTCTGAGAACTTTGAAAAAGTTCATCATTCTGACCAAGTATTTCAGGACTAAGAATTTGAACTAAGGCATTAAATCAGACACATATAAGTTCTGAAATCTGTACTATGGACAAATCAAATTAGTGATATGCTCTACTAAAGTTCTGATACTCATGACCTTGCTCTGATACCACTCAGTAGATAACAAGCCTCTAATACTAGAAAACAGAAATGCTCTGATACCGCTATGATCCAAGATATCAGAAAGCTCTTACCATTTATTGATCGGAAGAGAAAGTTATAGCAACCTGGCTTATGCCGAACATGGAAGTTATTTCTTTCGTGTTAAATTAACATGTTTATATATGTTAAAATTATTTTAAGTCTTGAATTCAGGGGGAACTTGCAAACCTAACTCTGACATTCTAAGATTGAAAATAATTTTTTAACAATATAAAATTTAGAGGGAGCTTATAAATATCACTCTGATATTTTTATACAATATAAATTTCAAGGGGAGCTTACAAACCTCACTCTGATAATTTTATGTGATTAAACCATACATAAATTATTCATCAAAATACATAGTTTTGTCATCATCAAAAATGGGGAGATTGTTAGACCCAGATTTGATTCTGCATCTGGCCTTTAGTTTTAATGATAACAATACATTGACTCTTAGAGATAAATTGTGTATACTAATAGTTTATGTCAAATGTGTATATTTTAATATACAGGTTCTGACTCTGAAGCATTGACATATGACATTATCAGATTCTGAATTAAGCACACTCTGACTATAGAGATAAACAAGCAGCGTCAATATCTAGAAAGCTATTAGACAACGGTTCTGAAGAACGTTCATGCTAAAGCCTCTGATCATGACTCTGACTGGTGAGCCTTTGAAGGTTTTGTATTACTTAAGACTTTGTGTTCAATAATTGAAGATTCTGAAGAACGAAGTGCTGAAGACTCTGAAGACCAAGTTCTAAGGAACATTGTCAAGACTCTGAAGACTTTAGTTCTGAAGGTTCTCAACAAGGATCTAGACTTTAGTCCTAATGTTGGATGAGAGATAAATAATACCTAGTACAAGATCAAAACATTCCTTCCATTTCGTGGAGTTAGGACATTTATGTTGTACAATTTTGTCTCCCACCGTAATGATAAACATTCAAGGCGCCAACTCATATCTGAAGTTTACCATTCTACCCCTAACGGATCTTTCCTTGGCTATAAAAGGAAGACTTGGAAGAATGAAACAAGTTGCCAATTCAAAAGCTAATCACTGTTATGAATCACGTTGCTGCATTCTTTGATATTATTCTTGTTAATATTTTATAGACACGCTTAAAACTTTTGTTCATATTGTGTAAATATTTATTTGTGCTTAAACATTGTGTTAATCAGCTTTGTAGAAGTAAACACAGTTGTAAAACCTCAAATCTGTATGAGTGATTACCTTGAGTGTTTAGGGTTTAATCTATATACTTAAGAAGACAAGGATAGTTGTTTTTGTGGTGTCTGTAATTAATTTAATTATAGTGGATTAAGTTCTTTTGAGAAGGCAAAATCACCTTGGCGTGTGGACTGGAGGTAGTTTCGTTAACAGCGAACCAAAATAAAAATAACTTGTTATTTTTATTATTCTTGTTTTTGTTTGTTGGATTGGTTTTGTAAAAGCATTGAATTTTTGAAACCCAATTCAACCCCCCTCTTTCTTGTGTTTCTCGTAACCTTCAAAAACACCATGTTTAATAACATTATAACCATTCATGCATAAATCTTAAAGCCTGGATAGCTTTAGGACATCATGAAACCATTGCTCTTCAGGTTGTCGCAGCTTTGCAATCTTCCTACCGTGGTTGATGCATAAGTCTCAAGGTACTGTAAGAAAATACATCATGATTATAAAGTTTAAATATTATAACACATATGTTTGAAAGAATAAATACAAACTATTTTACCTCTCCATCCCACACTTGCCTAGAAGCATGATTTGTATACATAGGAAATAGTGAAGTTTCATAGGGGTCTCCTTAAAATAACCTCAAGAAAGACATCAAGAACAACATCATCAGCAACAGGATGATCAAAATGGACTTCGAGACTTTTGGGCATCAATAGGTGACATGTGCCTCCGGGAAGATGAAGTTGGAGACACCTAAACTTTGGAAGTAGATGCTTATGCATCAAATAAATCGGCACTAACTAATGGCCACAAAGATCTAACTCTCCCCCTACGAACAAATGCATGGTGGGACACTATACCGTGCCTAAATTTATCTTGGTTATTAGCCATTTTACCTATATTTAAACTAGAAAATCCTATCATAATCAAAGAAATCAAACCCAAATGACAAATATTCAAAATCAAACAAACTACGAAGATGCAAAACAAATATGGAAGTGCACTTTCGTAACTTAGGAAAATCAAATTCATACAAAATACGAAAGTGCACTCCCGCAAGACTTGAAACTGACATGTACTGGTAAAAAATAACAGGTGTGTGTGGTATCCTAATGAATGTAGGGGATACTCAAAGGCCTTAGTAGGTTTATAATAGTTTAGGATTTGCCCACGGTAACGAGAGGCCCTGTATGATGGTCACGTTTATACATCAAGGAAAATATACTAAGGAACTTCTAAAGAAGTTTGATATGACAGAAAGCAAACCAGCTAAATTTCCCATGCATCCTACTTGCATTCTGGAGAAAGACAAAGTAAGTAAAAAGGTTTTTTAGAAGCTCTATCGTGGTATGATAGGCTCTCTTCTCTATCTGACTGCCTCACGACCAAATATTTTATTCAGTGTATGTCTTTGTGCTCATTTTCAATCAGATCCAAGGGAAAGTCACTTAACTACTGTTAAGAGAATCCTAAGGTATCTGAAGGGAACTTCTAACCTTGGCTTGATGTATGAGAAAACATCAGAATACAAGCTATCAGGTTTATCTGATGCAGATTATGCCGAAGACAGAATAGAATGTAAGAGTACTTATGGAATCTGTCAGTTTCTGGGTAGCAATCTCGTGTACAGATATACAATTCTCGTTGGAATCAACTTCTAGCGCAACTCAACAATTTAGTACTCTAATTTTATCTTAAGTGTGCAAATATACAATTCTCATTGGAATCAACTTCTAGCGCAACTCAACAAGATTCTGATAGATACTAGAGTTTCTAAAGAAGAAAATATGTGCTCCTCAAGAAAGTGTTTATTTCTAAAGAAAGGATTCTAAAACTCTGATCAACCTTAAAGTTCAAAATACATGATAAGGATCAAAGCTCAAAGTCCAAAGAAAAACGTGAAGGCCAAGAATTCGTACAAGTGACTTTTTCCTAAAAAAGTCTAAAGCAGAGATTTTGCTCAGAATTGACTAGAAAGCTTTCTAAGCTTTTACTACTTCTGCTATCCAAGGATTCTACCGTTGAAGACAGCTAGCCTAGCTCAAAGACATTCTTATCCCTCAACGTTCTCGAGGTTATAAATAGAAGACTATGATGCATTACAAATCACAATGATTCACAAGTCAAAAACGCTAAAGTACACACTCTGTCAAAGAATCTCAAAGCACAAAGAGTTGTTGCTCATATTTGTGTAAAAATATTGTTCTTAAAATTGTTTCAACTTGCTTATTAAGAAGCACTATTGTAAACATTCTTGTAACACTTTTTAAGTGATTTTCCTTGAGTGACTAAGTGTATTAGTCAGAAGACTCGAGAGGGCTAAGTTGATGTTGAACAAATTAGAGGTTTGTTGTATGTTTTTCTTGAGTGACTAAGTGTGTTAGTCAGAAGACTCGAGAGGGCTAAGTTGTTGTTGAACAACTTAGAGGTTGGTTGTAAGTTTTCCTTGAGTAATGTATGTACTATTTGCTGGACAAAGGTCAATCTCATAAGATTCAATAATGAAAGATACACTTCTGAGTTTTCATTACTTTGATGTGTAGAACTCTATAATATGCATTAGGAAGCTGGAGACATGTACTAACCGATTGAATGTAAATTACTTAATTTTCACTCTGTTGGTATAGTTGATCGCTTTCTTGTTATGCATTGTAAGAACTCAGAACTAATGTAAGCATGGATTCTTAAAAAGCTTGCATTTTTCAAACTCCTACTGTGAGTCCAGAAAATTAAGCAGTTTGTTCTGCTGTTATATATGTATATTGACTACACAATATACTTCATATTTTGTAGAGGATGCATTAGTTTAACTCTGTCCTATTGTTTACACTTTAATTTCTGACTGTTGTGCTAATTGGATCTCACAGTCTCATGCTCATGATAAACTTACAGTTTGATGGGGTCCTTTGTTCCATTTGGTGGTTTCTTTTCTACACCTTCTGAAAGCAAAAGTCACGTAAGCTCTACAAATGCATCTTTTACTCGTTGTGACAAATGCAATGAAAAGTACGAACACGAAGTTGCCGATGTTTTGAAGGTAGATCCTGCTACTCTGGCATCTAGTAGCTCAACAAGCTTGCCTTGGTTTAAAAAGGTTGTTGATACACATGGAGGACTTGACGTGGCAAAGGTTTGTTATGATACCCGAATGTTAGATATTCTTGTTCAATGAATACTGTGACATTTACATGCATACACACGATGCATGCAACATGGTGGGGGCAATTATTGTACTGATCCACTTATATAATTTAATGGTACCAATAATGCTTGCTTGCCTATACTGGTTAAAACAATTTTAGCTTCCTTAATGTGAGAAGTCACTTTAGAGGAATTAATGGATGAGATTGTGATATTATGCATGCAAATGTATGACAAACTATGAAGTTTATATGTCAATAATTGATTTTAGATTCAATAGCTATAGCTTACCTATTTTACCATTCACTTTAAAATAAACCAATTGAGGTAACAAAAAACCTTCCAATAAAGAAAAAAGAGGAAATTTGGTAATTTACTGAACTTAATGGATTAAACCTTTTAAAAGTTTAAAGCTAAATAGCATATTCTTCACCCACCAGTATAGTGGCCTATATAGTCTTGGTCTACTATATAAATATGCAATAACTGAAAGGATATTTTTGCTATTAGTATTGGGAAATCATGTGTTTTCTTTATAACTCAGAACATCAGCAAGTTATTCTAGAAAATTTTACATGTAAAATGAAATTAGAATTCTTTATTTTCTCATGAAGAACTGTAAGATTTTGTTTCTTGAGATTATATTTGCCAAACTAATTAAATTTCATGAATCAACTTTCTGTACTTATCATATTTTGCATCACTTGCAATATTTCACTGGTTCAAATCTATGGGTGTATATGTATTTAAGAATGAACTCCATTATCCAGTGCAGACTAATGAAGAAAATACAAGCGTGAATGATAAGATATTGGGATTTCAAAAGAAGTGGAATGATATTTGTCAACAACTTCATCAAACAAGGTCTCAAGTTCCATCACTTGAGGTTTTTCGGCTTGGTTCAGATTTTAACGCAAGCAGCAGTAAAGATCCATCACTTAATGGACTCCAATGTTCTAGTCCATTTTCCTACATGCCTAAAAACTTGCATGATACTTTTCCATCAAAACAGATATCTCCGGCTCTAGTACATGCTGTTACACTCAGTGTTGATGTTAGAACTGATCATGTGCAGAAAGTTACCGAGACTCAGGAAATTGATTTGATGACTCCTTGGGCTGCCCCTTTACGCATGGCCAATAGGTGTGTGCTTGATAACAAATCATCTTCGTCCCTTACTTCTGTGGCCACAGATTTAGGATTGGGAACGTTATATACATCAACGCCAAATGCTTGCAAGCCAGATACCACAAGGTTTCAAGATAAAATAAAGCATTTTGAGTGCGTGCCAGATTCTGCTTCAGCTGACTCTGTTGCTATCCAGGGAAATACATCACACCAGATTGCTAGATCTTCCTGCTCTGTTTCAAACTTGTCAGCAAACTTTGATTCTATAGATTTCAAGTCTCTTAATAAACTTCTCTTTGAAAAAGTTGGCTGGCAGGATCAGGCCATATGTGATATCAGCCAAACTTTGTTCCATCGAAAATCCGGCGAAGGAAAGAATAGAGACTCACATGGTAGAGCAGACATATGGCTTGCTTTCCTTGGGCCAGATAGAGTTGGAAAAAGGAAAATTGCTTCAGCTCTTGCAGAGGCTATATTTGGAAATACAGAAAGTGTAATCTCTCTGGATCTAAGTTTCCAGGATAGGTTTTACCAGTCAAACTCAATTTTCAAATGCCAAAGATCATTTTCTTATGATGTGATTAATAGGAAGACAGTTGTGGACTATATTGCTGGGGAGTTGAGTAAAAATCCTCATTCCGTTGTCTTTCTTGATAATGTGGATAAAGCTGATTTTCTGGTCCAGAGTAGTTTAATGCAGGCAATAAGAAGAGGTAAATTTCCAGACTCACGTGGAAGAGAGATTAGTATCAGCAAAACAATCTTTCTTTTAACCTCGTCTGTCTGTCAAGGCAACGGGTCTTCTGCTTGGAACGATGGTAAAATGTTTTATGAGGAAACAATTCTTGAAGCCAAAAGATGCCAAATGCAGTTATTACTTGGAGATACATCTGAGGATGCCAAAAGAAGCTGTAGTACAAATATCAAGATTGTGCCGAGAAAAGGGTTTTCAAGACCATCATTTCTCAACAAAAGAAAGCAGGTTGATACCAGCTTCAAAGAGGGAACAACAAGTAAGATGCAAAAACAGGTTTCCGAGACATCAATCCCCAATCTGGATTTAAATATGCCTCTAGAAGAGGGTGAAGATGGTATGAACGGCAACGACTGTGAACACAAGTCTGTAGTGGATAGCTCAGACTCATGGTTTAGTGATTTATGCAATCAAATGGATGAAAAAGTGGTTTTCAAGCCATTCAATTTTGACGAGCTTGCCGAGAAATTACTAAAAACCATTAGCATACAATTTGAAAGGACATTTGGTTCAGAGTTTCAGTTGGAAATTGATTATGAGGTATTGACACAGATACTTGCAGCTGCTTGGTTAGCAGACAAGAAAAACTCGGTGGAGGATTGGGCAGAAAGTGTTCTTGGCAAAGGCTTTTTTGAAGCTCAGCAGAAATACCATCCTGCAGCTAAACATGTTGTAAAACTAATTAACTGTGAATCTATTTTTGAGGAAGATCCTGATCTTGGAGTATGCCTTCCACCTAGCATTAACATGAAGTAAGCTTTTGGTTTACTATGTAGTATGATTGTAATTACTTGTAAAATGTAGCTTTTAGATATAACATATGGTAGTTGGTAGCATTGTTTTCAGCTGATTAATCTCACATTTTTTGGTGTGCTGATTCTGTGTTGTAAATTCTGTGGTACAAGAATGTGTAGTTTTTCCGGTAACATGTTCTTTCTCTCTAACTTTCTTTAAATGTATTGTACTCTAAAGTATTTGTTTGCAAATGTTATATTACTTGGGATGGTTGATATTTGTACTTAGTAATTGGGCATGTGGAGTGAGTAAGTAGGTAACTAAAATATTATAATATTTGAGGATATAGGAGTAGGGCTACTCTTTGCACCGATAAAATCATTAGGAAATCTCGTTATTTCCGCGGGTTAAGGGCAGAATCATTACTCTTCGCATTTTTAACAGTGGTCACGCACTTTAGGGAAAAACCAATCAATAGTGTTTCTAAAATCTGAAACTTAATTTTTGGATGCACTAAAGATACAACCACATTAAGTCGTCTCAGGCTCGAAGAGAGATGAAAACACCACCTTCTCTCATTAATTTCATAAAGTTTACTCATAATTCAAAACAGAGCTCGGGTGCAAACTCCACTTCAATCATTTTTCAAACTTTTCACTTCTACTGCATTGCATTCAAGCATAAGACATAATTCAGCCTCTACTCCACTCAGATCAATCGAGGTTTCTTTTTCAATTTTTTCAAGTTTTCTCACAATTTAGCAAGTTTTTCATGTTTTTTTTTTGTGATGATTGTATTAGTTAAATAGGTTGTTTATGATTCATTAGGTTGTAGTTAAAAGCATGTAATGAATTGATTTTGATGCTTGCATTGAGATTTTTTTCAAGTTTAGAGCGTAGGGGGTTTGTCTGCTATCGTTTTGCGTTTTTCTAGTTTTTTTCATGGTATGGAAGTTAACTGAATGACACGATCATTAAGACCCATGATGAGTGAAGGACCTTTTAATTCACCGAGTTTTTCATGGGGGTGTATGAACGAGACCCCATTAATGTAGAAATTAGGGATCACCTTACCTTTAGGAATAATAATACAGTCTCTGACTGTCGTTTTCTTTTACACGATAGCTGGGACGAGGTGGTGAGATGAGGTTGTGCAGATTTGGTGTCGTCGCCAGACATTCGACTTTACAATTGGGTGGATCCCGAATTGGTGGACATCACTTCTGTTTTTAACTGTGAAAAAAAAAAGGTAGAATAAGTTCACATAGAAGTGGGTCTTTATTCAATTTGCGTGTTTCTCATATTGATGATGATAAGAGGATTTACAACACTTATGGTAGGTGTTTCATCCCCTTATACAAATGTCTCTTCAATTAGCTTAGACACAAATTATGCTTAAGTGGTTTTGAAGAACAACTGATGAACCAGTTAGACATTCCCTTTTCCCAATTTCATTCTTCTTCTTGGACCTTTGTCAAGGTATTCCAATACTGGTACGAGTACTAGGGGACAATTTCGTCTCTCAATATTTTCTTTAACTTATCATTTGTATCCCAAACAACGAGGAAACACATCCAAGGACAAGGAATTATTTATCACCGTCAGTCGACCAAGGTGTTTAGTGTCTATATGGAGAGCTTGAATGGTCTTAAGAATCATTTCGTCTTGGTGTCTCCTTTGACTCTGGGAGCTCACTGTCTTTTGAAAGGTTCGTGATGGGCATTCCTCCCATGTTGGTGACTCCATTTCCTCTTCTTTCAAGTGTAAGCAAAAGATTAATAAGTATTAGACTTGGAACCACTTCAAACAAGACTACCTCAACTTTGTCATCCCTGATTAGAGACTAACCCCAAAAAAGGTATCAATAAAGGATGACTTGGAAACCTTCAAAGAAAACATGGGTTTCGATGTGAATCCAAAGGGGAACATAGTGCAAAAAGACACTTCTAGAAGAAGTCAAACTATCGTTCCTGAGTTGGTTGCGTCACGAAGTGATGAAGCTCCCAAATCTCCAAATCGCAAAAGAGTGAGTGACATCACACTCCTCCTCACAGTTGGGGGGGGGGGGGGGAGGTAGTCATGTTATTTCTAAGGAACAAGTAGAGAAATTGCTAGTGAAAAATCTGTAAAAACATCCTCTTTGTGCCCATATCTTGGACAACCAAATACCAAAGTCGCTGGAAAAACCTCAAAAGCTGAAGGGGTATGACAAAAAGGGAGATCCCGATGAGCATATATAACATGTTGATGACCTTTTGAACTACTTACACACCGACAAAGTAGCAAGGTGTAAACTATTTACACTAATACTAACATAATCTTCCAGACTCTAATCAAAACTTTGTTGGATGGGTGCATTGAATCATGAACCAATACGTGTGAGAGCTTCAACGCTCATATCACGGCTCGAAATAGGTAACCAGTGACAATATATTCCCTTAGCAGGATAATACATGGGAAGAAAGAAATCTTGCGGTCTTACATCGAATGTTTCACACAAGTAGTTGTGGAAGTATGAGGAGTTGAAGAGAGCCTTAAGTATTGGATATTTAAGAACAGTCTAAGGTAGGATAACTCCTTCAAGGAGAAATTAAGGCGCATTGAGGCCCATAGTTTGAAAGAGCTTCTGAATAAAGTGCAACCTTTTGTTAACCTTAATGAGAAAGTTATCGCCCAGATTGACAACCAGGAAGCGACGAATGTAAGATCCGGTTGGTAATTCAGAAAAGACTCTAACATGTGAAGGGAGGAATCTGACTGCATGACCCATGGCCGGTACGACAAGTACACCCCTCTGAACACTTCATGAGACAAGATATACCAAGAGTGTGCCAATATGGAATTTTGGAAATCCGGGATCAAAAATCCCTTTAATGTCAGAGAATCTTCTAAAATCAAAAAGATGAAATATTATCACTTTCACAAGAGTCATGGCCCACCACCAATGACTGCATTCAGCATAAGGACTCCATCAAGGGTTTGATAAAGAGGGCCCATTATACGATTATATCAAAGGAGACAGGGGAGATAGAAAAGAGATGCCAAAGAATAAGTCCATGTCCAATAATGTGGATGGCGTAGCTAACGGTGGAGGGACCAAACAGTGAAGATAAATGAGCAAGTAAATGGAAGTGCCAACACATTGCAAGGGCAAAGCCTCATATATAGATGTGCTCGTTTCGATGATATCAAAACTCAGCTCCATAAAAAAATATACGTTGGACATTGTCACCATGTCGTATTTGCATGTCTTGTCTCTCATAATTCAAATGCTCGTAAAAATCATGATTGTTGCATATAGAGATGGCCAAATTTGTGTGTCATATAGGGTTGACTTAGTTGGTGTTGTTTTTCATACTATAGGTTTCATCAAATATGTCGTAATGCATGAAAATGGAAATTTTTACCTGTTTCAGGGTTTTGAGTCGACCTAAAACCTGCTCCGGTCGACTCACACAGCAAGTCATTTTAATGAATTAGTCTCAGGAGGGCTCGCGTCGACCCTCCGATCGACTCATACTGTGATCATTTTCATTTGGCTAAAACTACATGTTGTGCGTTGACGCATACTATGCTCCGGTCGATGCATAGTCCTAATTTCTGCACAATCTTAAGTTCGGGTAAGCTCAGGTCGACCCTCTCTACTACATAGGTCGACCGCTCGTTGTTTTGTGTCAAAATTCTGTTATGTCAACTGTTTTTGTGAGTTTGTTTTGGTTGTTATGTCAGTTATGTTTGGTATATAAGTTGAGTTGCTCTCTCATTTCACAATAGCTAAGAAAACAAAAAAAGTGAAATTACGTGTCGATTTGGTTCTCATCATCTTCATTATCTTCATAGCATTTCACAACAATTACACATAATCATTTTTGTTATGCATTGTGCATGTTCGAGGTGATAACATCCAAATCCGAAGATTGGTTTATCTGGTTTGGGTTGAGTAATCGATAGGTTTTTCTTGAATAAAACCGTTAGAGTTTTGTCCTCCAAGATTCTCATATTTTGGGGGGTTTTTTCACGATTCGTTCCATCGCATATTCAGCCAAGTGAAGGTAATCGAAGAGCTGGAGCTTCAGTCGGTTTAGTAACGGTAAACAGAGGGTTGTGAGTGGGAGTTTCGGGTTTGACACGTGGGTGACTGAAATCAGTCGGGGTCAGATTTTGAAGACCAAGGGTTGTTCAAAGAGAGTGCCGCAATCGGAGGTTTATTCACCGCGTTCGAAGTACTTGATTCAACTTGAATCAAGGGGCAAGAAGGAATAGATTCTACAACAACAAATTGTGTTCGTGTGTTTGATCCCTATTTGCTTCTTGTATAAACATTGGCCAACATGTTATATCTATCTATGTACAGGTCTCAATTCTATTGTTAGAATTGAGGGCATACGTACCCCGAGCGAGGACGACGGGGGAACTGCCTCAACAAATTGTTGTGTCTTTTTCTTTACGCTTATATTGCTATATTTCTGAGTTTTTAGTGCAAACAATTATATCAATCAAATTCTGATTTGAGTTGTGCTGAACTATTTGTTAATCCAATTACAATCATTGATTGTAAGAGAAAATTTGAGCACTAAACTCTCAAAACAGAATTCACTTGTAGTGTTCTGCACTCTAAGTGTTTGATAAATTGTGTGAACTAAAACTGCTTGTGCTATCTTTTCAAATTGTCAATATTTTAAAGGCATTGGAACTAGTCACACCTTATAGTGAACATAATCAAATTAAAAGTGTGATTGACGTAGTGATTCTCATATCTTGTTTATCAAATTCCATAGGCTTAACGCATATCCGGTTTTCTAGTAACCGTTCATTTTAGACGTGTATAGTTCATCGGCCGCTTCCGCTATTAAAAAAATTTTAAAAACCAATTTTTTGGTAGCGCCGACTCTATTTTAAACAAGCGATCTATTCAACCCCCTTCTAGATCTGCACCATCGTCTAACAAGTGGTATCAGGAGACCCGGTTCATTTCGTGCTTCAAGTATAACTTAGTAGAAAATGGTTAACAAACCTAAAAAG